GCTACCATTATGAATTGTAATACAAATATCTGTGTTTTCCAATGGCTCCTATGAAAGAGTCATTCGACCCCAAAGGGGTCGCAACCCACACGTCAAGAACCACTGTTTTAAGGGCAGATCTCACTCTGCCATTTCCTGGGGTGGGATGGATCGAGGTAGGGAGTGCCCTCAAGGGAGCATGCTCACACTCAGTCATATGGAAGTAATTACTATAGGGTTCTTTTCGCCTTGCTCATCTGCCTAGGCATGGAGGGGCCACTTTAGCTGCGGTGTAAGGCCCAACCACCGCTGCTTCTGAGGGCAGACCATCAGCCATGCGGTATGTGTTTCTCCAGCATGCAAAATGTTAAAGTTGAGAGATCTTGGAGGCTTTTGATCCAGGCTTCAAACAAAGACCCGAGAAAACAGTCACCATGAAAGTTCAGCACGGCTTGTGGGAACCCTGAGATGGCTCTGAGTGAAGCTATGAGGGACAGGCTGAAACATAACGGGAATGCCAGGACAGACATGCTAAGAGAACCACGCGTTTGCTAAGAAAAGCTGCATGTAGTGTAAAGGGCCCGCCCTAGGGAGGCCGTGAAGGTTACAAATAACAGAGCTGGCTAAACCTCTGGGAGTCACCTTACACAGGATTTAGCATCTGTCCTGTTGCTTTGGGTCTTGTCTGAACTCCGTTTTCCCTTTCTATGCCCCACTTCTCCCTTCTACAATGCAACTGTTTTTTCTGTGCCACTATATACTGGAAGTATTAACATTCCATTTCATTTTATAGGTATTCACAGCTAAGAGTTCGTTTTTCCTCGAATTTTAAATAAGGGTCGTGTCCTTTTGAGCCAAAGTCTCGCTGTATATCCCTTGCTGGCCCTAACCTTTCACTCTGCCTGCCCCACCTCCCAGGTGCAAGAATTACAGGGACATCCTTGCATAGTCAGCTTTGAATGTGGACGATGTTACAACAGACAATGTTACAATGTCTAAGGGACTCTTAGACATGGACCTTGGAGTTCCTGTCTTTGGAAATTCTTTTGCATTGTGAGATGAGCATGAGCCATGCTGTGACGTGGGTATGAAATGGCATCCTACTGATTCATGTACCGAATGCTTGGCACTATCTGGGGAGATAGAAACTCTAGGAAGCAGAGCCTAGCTTGGGGGGAGTAGGTCATGAAAGACATGGCTTTCAAGTTTGTACCTGGTACCTAGGTCCCTTTTCCCTACTTCCGAGAGGTGAGAAGCCTCTACCATCCGCTCCTCCTGCCATGCTGCTCGGCCTTACACCAGCCCGGCATCAGCAAAGCTGAAAACGGGGAATTGGAAGCTCTAAAGAAGTATGTTTAAATGAATCATTCCTGCCTGCAAAAGATAAGTCTGTTATGATGTCGTCACTGATAGGTGAAGTACTTTAAATTGAGTGTGAGGACACATAACCTGAGTCCTCCTGGATGAACTACCTGAATCTCTACCTCACTTTAACCCTGTCTTTGAGGACAAGATAAGATAGAAATCCCTCTTCAGGGAGCTCTAAGATAGATGAAGGAATACCAGATGTTTCTAACTTCATCAAAAACCCACCTTTATGCTCAATGAAACACGTCAGTGCTGTGGCAGTTGGCAACTGACATGGAGATGCCTGAAATAAGCCATAATAGGGGAAAAATACCCCCACTCATTCCTAGAAAAGACATAGATATTCTTCCCATTTATAAGCTTATCCCTCCACTGGTCCTTGTGGTCGTAGGCCTGTTTGTCATATCCTAGTCATGATGCTCAGACTTCAAAGTGAGTGTAAGGCCAGGCTGGGCTACCAAGTCAAGACTGTCTCAAAACAAATAGTGTAAACTGGAGATACACTTCTCCCTGTTTGCACCTAGAGCAAACAGAGCCCTATGTTCAATCCCTGGCACTGAGAAAGAAAAAGAAGAAGAAAACCTATCCCCCCTCATCTCTTTTCATCTATATCTACAACTCCCTGGTCCCCACATGATGACAGGTCGACAGGCAAGTCCATTTCTTATATATTGGGCAAGAGAAAAAATTTTCCTTCACTGCTCAGCTGGTGCTCAGTCTTGTAATTGGTTCCATAATTTGAAGAAGGAAAAACAATCTTGTTTGGGGGAAAAAAACAAACAAACAGGAAAACGTGATGGATATACTAAAACAGGCCTAACAGAACCATTCCAATAAGTGAATTTAGGATCACAGTTCAATAAATTTATTTAAAATATGTAAATACACGAAAGAAGTATGCTTATATTATAAGTAATGTAAATATAGGCTTCTTACTTTCCTCAAATGTGTGATATTTCATATTTTGGAGTGATAAGAAAAAATGTCTTGCCTATAATTTTCGGTGCTTTTCTTTAAGGAAATAATATAAGCTTTAAAATGTCAAGATTAAGAATTAGTATCCTTATTTTATAGCCATTTCAGTTTTAAAAAGCTGTTTCCCACTAGATGGCACTGGTGTGCAAATTCTCTTACTCATAATCTTCCCACTTCCTCACATCAATAACATTATTTTCACTTGCCTTGACTGGTCTTTCTAAGACAAGGAAGAGTTGAAAGTTATAACAAGTTAATTCCTGTGCTTTCTAAGATGAAGGTAAACAAAACACTCCTTTTACAGATCCAGAGTGTAAGGCAAGGAGAAATGATTGTAACCCCTGTGTCAAATTCATTGTAACACCCATAATTCCTGATTCTTAGAGACCATCAGTTACATAATATAGAAGTTGGCTATATTGTGGCTATACAGTCAAAAGGAATTAAAAAAAAATATGTCTCCTGTCTTTTTACATGTTATTTCACTTGGTTCCTGAACTATTAGCTTTAACTACACAGGGCTAAACTGTTAACTTCATGATAGAAGAAAGAACGGCCATTTTGTTTGGCACTATATCTCTTGCACCTAGCACAGTATTCAACACATAATTAAATGTCAAAAACATTAATGTCCAAGCGTGTTGGTTGGTATTCATCTGTAATCCCAGCATTTGGGAAGCAGAGGCAAACAAGATTTAAAGGTAAACGCCAGCCAGTAAGAGATAGTGAAAACCCATGTCAAAATAATGTTAAGGGGCTGGAGAGATGGCTCAGTGGTCAAGAGCACTAGTTGCTCATCCAGAGGACATATCAACTGCATTTTGTATGTAGCATTATTTCTACTCTACAGCTGAGAAGTCCGGATCTGGAACTATGCAAGATGTTTGCAGGACTCAGCGACAAGATGGTTTCTGTTCCACCATCAAGTTCCTAGCTCCTGGCACAGGTTGGTGCACAATAAATATAGATGTGTTTTACTTAATAGACACCCAGATCTTAGCAGCTTGGATATGAGCGTTTTAGGAGCTGTGTTCCTAGCCTCCTTTTGTGATTCTGTCTTTCATTTCATTCTAATGCTACTAAAGGCTAGCCCGGTCTTCGGTTCTGAACATCCCTTGACCTCACCATCAAGGCACATTAACAAGTCCCAGGAGCCAACAGGCATTTCCCACTCTGCTGTGTCCTCTAATTCATCCTAGTCCTCAGGTGAGCAGCCCACCATTCTCCCTGCTCCTTCGTCTTGGAAGTGCTTGTGAGAGTTGAGCAGATCAAGTGGACAGCTGGCTTTCAGCCTGGTTCTCTTCTCTGAGACTCTTAACTTTGAGACTCAGAGTCCTCGTCTCTAAAGATGGGCGAGGCTTCAATAGTTGTAAAGGCTCCTTCCAGCTGTCAGGCTCTGTGGTTTAACTGTCTTAATCAGTATTCTATTGCTATGAAGAGATGCATAACCCTATGTGGCAACTTTCATAAAGGAAAGCATTTAAATGGGGCTGGCATACAGTTTCAGAGGATTAATCTGTTGTCATCATGGTGGGAGGTGGTGACAGGCAGGTAGGCAGAAATGGTGCTGGAGGAGCACCAGGAAGTTCCACATCCAGATCCAAAGACAACGGGAAAAGAAGGGGCAACGGACCCTAGCCTTCTGAAACTCCCAAACTCACCAGAATGACACACTTCCTCCAACAAAGCCACACCTACTCCAAAGGGCCATGCATCCTAATCCCTCTCAAGTAGCGACACTCTCTAATAACCAAGCATTCAAATGCATGAACCTACGGGGACCACTCCTATCCAAACCACCACAAACTCTGTCTGCAGTGACTCTTAATCAAGCTTATGGTCAAAATGGTGATAAAGAGTCCGGCTTTCACCAAAACTAAAGAGAAACTCCCCCAGGTCTTCTGCTTGACTAGGCCCAACTTTCAGCTTTCTGACCTAGGGAAATCTAGTTTGGGGATGAATCCTGATAAACCAGTTCTGTGGTAATTCTTTCCCTTGGTGTCTGACTGCTATCATTGTGTTAACACACTGGCCTGCCTGCCTCATGAATTTTCTGAGGCAGGGCTACCAAGAGTCCCTCTTATCGCTGATCTTCAGTAATTTTTCACCTGCTAACTTTCATACTGCCCCGATTATAAATCTCCCCTTATCTTCCTGGAACCAAGTCCAGCCCCTTACTGCAAGACCCCACTGCAATGGTCCTTTTTACCTGTCACTACGAACCCTTATGAGTCTGTCTATTTTCTTGCTTACTTTTTGGTTCGGTGTTTTTTGTTGCTGCTTGTCTTCTTTTTCAGACAGGCTCTTGCCCAGATGCTGGCCTCAAACTTACTATTGTCGCCCCTGCGGCCGCACACGTAGCAATCTGATTACAGACGTGTGTCACCACATTTAAAAGTACACTATCTTTTAAAACGGTGATGAGTAATCTTCTTGTAACAACACATTTCTTGGCTTAGAAGAAGCCAGAAGGCAGCTCTGGGAAGGCTTAAGCATCAGGAGGGCGGGTCTTTTTAGCCACAGGGCTAACCGGTTTGCACAAACCATTCTCTAGTCCTGTGGGATGTGAGACTTGAGCTCGCCCAGAGCCCGCCATGGCGCCAGGGGGCGCTGCAGAACGCCTCCCGGAAGCCAGCCTCCCTCGCTGAGGGCCCGCCCCAGGCTCCCGGCTCCTCCGCTTCCGGGAGCGGAGCCGCGGACCGGTCGCCGCGGGCTGGGAAGCGGCCGGCGGGACCGAGGCGGCGGGACACCGAGCCGCGCTGCCGCGTGGAGCGCCATGGACGACACCGGCAGCTCCGCGGGCAGCGGAGGCTTCCGCCCGGGCGTGGACAGCCTGGATGAGCCGCCCAACAGCCGCATCTTCCTAGTGATCAGCAAGCACACGTCCGAGTCAGTGCTGCGGGAGCGCTTCTCGCCCTTCGGAGACATCCAGGACATCTGGGTGGTGCGGGACAAGCACACGAGGGAGTCCAAGGGCGTCGCCTTCGTCAAGTTCGCGCGCAGCTCGCAGGCCTGCCGGGCTATGGAGGAGATGCACGGGCAGTGCCTGGGTCCCAGTGACACCAAGCCCATCAAGGTGCGGGACCGGGGTGCCCGCGTTAGGGTGCCTGAGGTAGACACGCCAGGCTGGGGTGTCGGGTACAGGCGCCCGGGGTCGAGGGTGCCCGCGCGGGGCGACGGCGGGGCGGGTTCGAGTCTCTCCCGCCCTTTTGCAGCACCGGGGTGCTGTGTAACCGGGAGGAAAGGGGTTGGACTCTGCTCCCAGGCGGAAGCCGGCCGGCCGGGGGTCGGAGGTGGCTTGGAGGAAAGGATCCCCAGCCTCTGGCCAAAGGAGCGTCTTCCGCTGGAAACATTGGGTAGCCACAGCCAATGACGGCTCGGCCGTGGCTATCCCCGTAACTCAGTGGACCTACTGTCCATCCGCTCTCTCTATTTCGAGAATTTCTCTGACCCTCCTCTTTCGGACACTTTGATTAACCTTCGCAACCAGATAATTTAATTTTTTTTCTCATGTACTTTATTTTTACAAAGTTCGAAGGATCCCTAAGTAAAAAAAAAAAAAAAAATACTACAGTACCATGCCCAATAACTAGAAAAATCATCAAAGTAAAATTATTTTGTGGCAAGCTATGCTACATACCAGAAGGGGGCAAACCTAGAAAATGGGGCGGTGGTAGAGGGAGTTCTGGCTTTGGCTTTATAAGAATACCATTTACGAGTGTTCGTGGACTGTGGGTTGGAGTCTCTCCTGCCTCTCTGCTGCCCGAGGCTGTGTTATCAGATAAGAAAGGAATTAAACTTCGTTAAGGACAAGGCGTGCACCAGGTGATTCATATGCCCTCTATAGATACAGTCCTTAATAGGAGATAGTAAACACTTTAGGCTCAAAACTTTAGAAACTTGTGTTCTGCTAGCACCTCTGTTCTCGTTTAACCTGAGGTGTCTGTTTTTCTCTTGTATGTGCATTTTCTTGGAGCTTCTCTTGTACATTTCTTTGGATACTTCATTCCTGGTGTATCGACTAGGTTCAGTTAGAGTAGGCCATTTCTACTAATGTCGGTAGTGCTTGACCTATGAAAGGTATTACTAAAGAAGTGACTAAAACCAGACCACCTAGGGAAATGTCTCTAACTCTTCCTTATAAGTAGGGCCCTTAGCCTCCATAACAAGCTGCTTTCTGAGCAAAAGTAACAGCTTTCATTTCCCTGGATCCAGTGTTCTCTTTCTTCAACAAAAGTATGCAATGCCATGTGTCTGTTTGTTTGTTTTCTGTTCAATGTTGTTCAGTGTTCCTTAAGTTTCACACACACAAGACCTCATGGATCCTTGTGAATGACATGGTCAGTGTCATTTCAAATTATAAAAAGGGGCATTATCCGTTAGTATTATTGTTGTAGTTGTACAAACAAGTCTACAGCCTTAGTCACATTCCTCTGGGAAAATAAAAACCAAGGCAAATGAGAAACAAATATTGTGCTACAAAACAAAAGTAGATTCAGATTCACTTTCCTTAAAATGCTTTAATAAAATTAAACTTCCAATATTAGAAAAATAGAGCCTCCTGTGAATTCTCTGTGAATCTGTGTGTGAAAGTATTTGGATATTCACAGAGATGAACCAGTGTGATTATGCTACCCTTTTCTAAAATTTTAGTGTTACAAAGCAGTTAGCATGTGTCTAGACTCAAACCCAACTGTATGAATAATTACACTAAATATACATGCACTAACTACCTCAGGGAAGAGATTATCTCAGGGCATAGTGCCACATGCCTGTACTCCCAGGAAGCTCAGGCAAGCACCCTGTTCTTTGCAAAAGAAGATACTATAAAACAACAAAAATGCAACTAAGTAATGTTTATAAGAGAAATGCTTTAAAGATACTGTGTGGTAGAAAAAAAATTTAATTTATTTATTTTTTATTAATTACAATTTATTCACTTTGTATCCCAGCTGTAGCTCCCTCCCTTATCCTCTCCTAATCCTACCCTCTCTCCCTCATCTCCTCCCATGCCCCTCCCAGAGCAGAAAGACACACATGGTATATACTCACTTATAAGTGGATATTAGACATGTAATATAGGATAATCATACTAAAATCTGTATACCTAAAGAAGCTAAACAAGAAGGAGGACTCTGGGTAAGATGATGAATCCTCCCTCAGAAAAACAAATGGGATGGATGTCGGAAGAGGGAGAAAACAGAGAACAGGACAGGAGCCTACCACTGAGGGCCTCTGAAAGACTCTACCCAGCAGGGTGTCAAAGCAGATGCTGAGACTCATAGCCAAACTTTGAGCAGAGTCCAGGGAATCTTATGAAAGAAAAATTTTAAAGCTCTTATCAGTGAAGATTGACTGCAATACATAGAATATTAATAGATAATTTCATAAAGATGAACTATAGCAACCCTGTGTGTCTGTGCAACCAGTAATAGAGCTTTAAAATACATGCAGCATTTTGGGATGAGAATTGGAGTCTCTGGGAATCAGAGCCATGGCTTCATAATGCTAGGCATTATATCTCTGTCATGGAGCTGCATCTCCCACTGGGGTGACAAACCTAGGAGAGAGACGAATTCGCAAGCTGATTTATGTACAGTCAGTACCTGATAAAAACAGGTACATAAGGAAAGACCTGACATTTTTATATCAAGAATAAAGTAGACCTTTAGTCAACACTGTCAAACCACAAGTTTGCATTCTTTCAGTGACGTGCTCTTGGCAGTCAAAAATGCAAACGTAAGCACTTGGGAGACAGAGGTAGGTGGATCTCTCTGAGTTCAAATCCAGTCTGGCCTACATACAGAATTAAACTCTAGCCAAGGCTATGTAGTGAGACCCTACCTCAAAACAAAAGAAAATGCAAAAGTAAAAATGTATTTGGAAAAAAAAAAACAGATTGGTATCATAATTTTTTTTTTTAATCACTACAATAAAGTTTACTTTAGGGGGCTGGAGTGATGGCTCAGAGGTTAAGAGCTCTGGCTGCTCTTCCAGAGGTGCTGAGTTCAATTCCAAGCAACCACATGGTGGCTCACAACCATCTATAATGAGATCTGGTGCCCTCTTCTGGCATGCAGGCATACATGCAGACAGAACATTGTATACATAATAAATAAATCTTAAAAAAAAAAAAAAAGATTACCTTAAAAATTCATAAGACTCTGTCCCATTGCATTTTAATCTGAGTTGAATGCCTGTATTATAAAGTAAATATATATAAGGAATAAGGATACAGTTACCATTATCCTGAGGGATTATATGTTTCTTAGGTTTTCATCGCCCAGTCCCGATCGTCGGGGAGTCACAGAGATGTTGAAGATGAAGAACTCACAAGAATCTTTGTCATGATACCAAAGTCCTATACAGAGGAGGACCTGCGGGAGAAATTTAAGGTGCTTGTGTTCCTATCAGAGCTCCATGTTCCACACTGTACAGTTACCAAGAACCGGACAGTAGCAGTGAGAGTTCATCATAAAACATAGGCTGAGAAAAGGAAGTGCAAGCCCAGGGTGTTTTCACTAAGACTGCACAGCTAGTGGGTGGTGGCGCCGAGGGGTGAGCCCACTGCCCCAGAGCCTGCTCTCGGACCCTCACATTTCAGAGCACTCCTCAGTTCTCACTTCTCTGCCGAGTGAGCCACAGGCCTGAGTTGGCCTGAGTTGGCCCGAGCACGTGAGCTGGGCATTGTACCTATTCACCACGAGGTTGTTCCTTGAAGTGCTTTTTGTCTTAAAACTGGCCTTCTACACCAGACATAGTTAAGGGAAGGGATTCCAGCTCTGAGCTACTAATCAGAGGAAATGACTTTTGAAGATCATTTTAAATCTTTGTACCCTTGAACCTCAGAATCCCAGTTCCAGAGCCCCTGCACCCCTCTGCTGAGCGAGAGCAGGCAGGCAAGTTCTTTCCCTCTGTGGCTTAGGCAAGGTGTTTCATTTCTGTAGGCTTAGCCTCATTATCTGAAATCAGCAGTATAGAATAGGAGTGAAGCTTTGAAGGATTTCTTTGTTTGCATGCATGGTTTACAAATAAGTATAAATTTAAATTCTGAAATATCTTTTTCCATTGTGAATTTTGAATCCCCTAAGGCCATCTCTTTTAACTCTTGTAGGTATACGGAGATATCGAATATTGCAGCATCATTAAAAATAAAGTCACTGGAGAGAGTAAAGGTTTGGGCTACGTGCGATACTTAAAACCGTCACAAGCTGCCCAAGCAATAGAAAACTGTGATAGAAGTAAGAGCGGGCTTTTGTTTGTTTGACGTTTTCTTTTATGTGTGCTTGTTGTGCCTACGTGTGCATCTGCGTGCCATAGGGGTCCGGCGCCTACAAAGGCCAGAGGAGAACATCAGAGCCACTGGAACTGCAGTTACAGAAGGTTGTGAGCCACCGTGTGGCTGTTGGCATGGAACCCAGGTCCTCCAGAAGAGCAACAAGTGGTTTTGTTTTTTTCAAGACAGGGTCGCTCTGTATAGCCCTGGCTGCCCTGGACTCCCTTTGTAGACCAGCCTGGCCTCGAACTCAGTGATCCGCCTGCCTCTGCCTCCCTGAATGCTGGGATTAAAGGCGTGCCCCACCACTCCCAGCTGCTAAAAGGCCTTTTTAAAAACAATTCTTGTTATTATGAATAACAGTCTACTACTGGGTTTTTTTGCTATGATCACGTAAGCAGTGGGCATTTCTATATGATTCAAGGCTGAAAACGTTTTGGACTGCTGAATCAGATATGCACTGACACCATTATGAGAAATATGTCTGACTGAGTAGATGAGGTGGCAAGCGCAGGGCATAATTGACTTGCTATCTGGATAGGTTTGGAGCTGTAAGAAATATTTTGTAATTTAAAGTATTAAAAATTGATTTGCCCTTTTAGGTTTTTAAAGATTTTTTTTCTTAAGACAGTCTTACTGGGTAGCCCAGCCTGGACTTGAACTTATGATTCTCTTGCCTTGGTCTCCTAAGTGTCTGCTTTACAGAGATGTACCACCATGCCTGCCAAATGCTATCCTTTCTATTTGTTCCTATTTGACCTAAGCCCTAACCAGGATTTAATACATATCAAACATACAAGTTAAGGATAGGGTTGGTAAGATTTGCTGTCACCGGTAATTAATTTGAAGCTATAGTTACAAATTATTGGATATTTTGACATTATACAAAAAGTTGACTGTGGTAAATAAGAGGTATAATACAATACTGAGCTTTAGATTGTTAAAAAAAAATCTATACAATTAACAGTTGGTATTGATCAGTAGAATTCTTAGGTGCCTCTAATGTCCACACCACAATTTTCTTCTTAGGTCCTTCTAAATTTCTCAGTCTTAATTGGCTTCCTATGGTATGTGTATTAGTATGGTGATTTATCTTTGCTAAGACAAAGATATAAGTGAAGTACCTGGTAACCCTGGCATTTAAATTTTTTATATCTCTATTGACTATCTAAGACCTAGAAAGTAAGGACTAGAAGAATATTTTTAAAGACTGAAAAGAAGTATACCTTGTTTTCCACCTCCCAATCCCTCGTGCAGTCATAGCTCCGTCATAAAGATGGAAAGAGCCCAAACCAGCTGCTTTATCCTTTTTACAGCTGGTGAGTAATAGGAATGCTATGAACCCTTGCAATATACCTATGTTCTCATCATGTGGATAAGCATTTTGTTTTAGAGGCTTTGTGGGGACTTCCCGTTTTGTGTAGAGGCTTGAGGAGGGTGCCAGTAGGGGCCAGAGGCTAGCTTGTCCCCCTTGGTTTTTGGGGGGTTCTTCCTGAACCTGGAGCAGTTGACTAGCCTGTCTCCTGTCTACCTCCCCATGGCTGGAATTACAGGCATGCCTGACCTCACCTGACTTTATTTGTGGGTGTTGGGATCTGCATTCAGATCTCCATGCTTGCCTGCCGAGCTCTTGCCTAACTGTCTCTCCATAGCCCTGTTCCCACCTTTTGAAGCTAATCCTGAGACCCCTGAGTAAGAACCCTTGGTCGAGAACAAGGAGACCAGTTAGAGTTGTTGTGATTAACTGAAGGTGTAACTTACCACCAGGCAGAGAAGTTAGTGTGTAGGGTAACATGCTAAGCACATATAAAAGAAGCATGGCAGTCAGTTAAATGTGAAGGTGCCCAGTGGGGCTTTGCCAAGCAGACTGGGCAAATGGGCAAGAATGGCACAGCATTGAGGACCTTTCTTGTCTATACTGACCTCTGCTTGGGGTTCTTATTTTTTTCTTGTCGTTTTTTTGTTTCATTTGTTTGTTTGCTTGTTTTCTCATTTACTTTTTGTCCATTGCCATGAAACAAAGAAGTAGATCTGATGGAGATGGCCACCATGTTGATTCAACCTTGTGTAATATATTTCTAAAACTAGGTCAGACCCTCAAAATCAAATACATTAAATTTGTTATGAAACTTGAAAATTCATGGATTCTTGTTTTCAGGTTTCAGAGCACTCTTGGCTGAGCCTAAGAATAAAGTGTCCGAGTCCCCAGAACAGGATTATTACAGTAGCATGAGGCAGGAGTCCTTGGGGAATGAACCTAGAGCGACCCTGTTTCCCTTTGGTGAGTGAACTGCCTTTACCTCTTTATATTGGTAGCATGTTTGATGTACGTGATCTAATTTAATTTTCAACCTGAACATCTTACCTAGTGAATGAAAATCTTGTATGTTGTTGAGAAGTTGATCAGTACTTTAATATCCTTAATACTTAATGCTATTTTGTTTAACTTTATTTCCAATATAGATTTCTCTGAATAGCTACACATTATCTACATACCAGCATGTACTACTGCTGTGGTGTGTGTGTGTGTGTGTGTGTGTAATTTTGCTTTTGTGCAACCAATCAAAAGTATGAAAATTTTATACAGATATCCCTTTACTATGCGACTTTAAAATTTGGTTCACAGGAAGGAGAATAGTAAAAGTAAAAGCTGGAAAAGGGTAGGGGGTGATGAAATCAAGGTTCCTGGACGTCAGTGGAATAACTTTTCAGATGAAACTCTTGGCATATTCCACAGTTGTATATACTAGCCTCCTTCCCCTGGAATCTAACTAGACACTCCTGTAGTAGTTCTGTGGAAGTGAGGAAGTGGGTGAGGCTGTGTGTTCTCTCAGCACTGGTTCTCTACGGTGTGGAGTACTACAATACTACCTAACGGGGGTAGGTGTGACCAAGGTGCATTGTCTGCGTGAATGGAGCTCTCAAAGGAGAAATTAAAACCCTGCTTCAAAAAAGGGTACTACAAAATGCACTGTCTTTGTCCAGTAAAGTAAACTTCAAATACCTTTGCGCAAAATGGTTACATGAATTTTTCATAGGTAGAAATTAATGACTTGCTTTTATATGTGTGATTCTGTATTGTGTGTATGTGTGTGTATGTAGCTGGAGAACAACAATCTGAATTTTCAAGTTTTGACAAGAATGATAGCAGAGACCAAGAGGCCATCTCCAAACGCCTGTCTGTCACGTCGAGAGTCCCCTTCACGGAGGAGCAGCTCTTCAGCATTTTTGACATTGTCCCAGGCCTGGAGTACTGTGAGGTTCACCGAGACCCTTACTCAAATTATGGTAAAATGATGTTTTTGCTACTGTTAAGTTTACAGTGTTCTTTAAAGCGGTTCTTGTCCATGACACATTTTTATATGTTTATGTTGCAGGAAGTTTATATTTTTTCTGGTGTGTTTTTACATTCTTTTTTATTAATGTACATGTTTATTGTACAATGATTATTTTCCCAATTGCTTAGGTATATCATATACTTTACATATCATATACATTACTACCCATTACCCTTTCCTGGGCCCTCATTTTTTTCCTGCTTTATTTAAAATCCAACAATACCTTAAATAAATCCCCCAGAATGTATCTCTTTATTTTTATTTTTATTTTTTTATTCATATAGCATTCTGCCTCTATGTGTGCCTGAGCACCAGAAGAGAGCACCAGATCTTATTATAGATGGTTATGAGCCACCATGTGCTTTCTGGGAATTGAACTCAGGACCTTTGGGAAGAACAGCCAGTGCTCTTCACCTCTGAGCCATTTCTCCAGCCCAGAATGTATCTTTTTTATAAAAGTCATTCACCGTAAAAATATTTTAAGTCCCACAAAATACAGGATTTTCTATTTCCCCATTTACAATAACAGTGCCTCCGGCTAGGGTCTGTTTTTGCTCTTTGAATTATAGCAAATTCAAAATTATAGCTAACAAAGTTATAAAATTCTTAAAGTTTCCTCCTCACACATCTCCAAGTCTCTTCTTCTTCTGTAACTCCCCTGCCTCCTAGGTGTTCTGCATCTCTGTGTTCATTCTTGGATTTTCAGTAGAAGCAGCAGGTTGTAGTTATCACAAGGCATTTCCCACAGGCATGTCAATAGGCAGTGTGACCCAGGCAGCGCTTCAGCTGAAGTTCCCAATGGATCTAGGTTATGTCAGGTTGACAGTTAAAACCAGTCAGAAATAGACCCTGTTCCCCTTACTGGGGTACTCACTTGGATACTGAGCTACCATGGGCTACATCCGAGCAGGGGTTCTAGGTTATATCCATACGTAGTCCTTGGTTGGAGATACAGTCTCACAAAAGACCCCTGTGCCCAGATATATTTGGTCCTAGTGGAGCTCCTGTCCTCTCTAGGTCATACTAACAGGGGAACAGGGACTATTTCTGACATGAACTCAATGGCTGGCTCTTTGATCTCCCCTACCCCCACCTGAGGGAGGAGTAGCCCTGCTAGGCCACAGAGGACTTTGCAGCCAGGCCTGAAGATACCTGATAAGTTAGGGTCAGTTGAAAGGGGAGGAGGTCCTCCCCTATCAGTGGACTTGGAAAGGGGTAGGGAGAAGATGAGGGAGGGAGGGTGGGAATGGGAGGGAATGAGGGAACAGGATACAGCTGGGATACAAAGTTAATAAACTGTAACTAATATTAAAAAATAAAAATTTATTAAAAAATTTAAAATAAAATAAAACTAGTCAGCTATAGCTTGGTGTCGCACACCTTTAATCCTAGTGTGTGGGGAGCAGAGGCAGGTGGGTTTCTGTGAGTTCCAGGCTACAAAGTGAGGTCTACAAAGTGAGCTCGAGGACAGCCAGGGCTACACACAGAGAAATCCTCCCTCGAAAAAACAAAACAAAAAACCAAACAAACAAACAAAACAAACCAGTTCATTTGGTCTATAGAGGAAAATGATGGTGTATTTTTCTCCAAAGTGGTTATATTACAGATGGGTCATGAAAACCTTTTGGTTGTGTCATAGCTCCTGAGCTCTAGGATAGACCTTTCCCTTCCTTCAGCACTGCTCTCTTAACTGAAATTCTTCCCAGAGCTAAAATCTCCTCAAAGGACTTTGAAATCGGCAGCTTTTCTGTTTTTGAATGTGCCACTGTCCTCCACTGATTCAACTAGCTAGCTATAGAGTTTATCCCTCATGAATTCTCATTGTTTTCTGCTCAACAGAATAGGAAAATCTCTCCTTTTTTTCCTTTTTGTTTTGTTTTTGGTTATTTTTGGTTTTGGGGCACAGGCTCTCTCTGTGTGTAGCCCTGGCTAGGCTGGACTCTTTGTGGACCAGGCTAGCCTCAAACTCACAGAGATCTGCCTGGGATTACAGGTGTGTGTCACTGTGCCCTTGGAAAAACTCTTAATTTAAAAGAGTTAAGGATTTTGGGTTTTCTGTATATGTTATGTTATTATAAGAAAATTTAAGCTGGGTCTGGTGGTGAGTGCCTGTGATTTCAGTCCTCTTTGGAGTCAGGGGCAGTGGGATCGTAAGTTAAAGGCCAATGGCCCAGGCTAGCAAGTTCCTGCTAAGAAAAGAACTTAAAAAAAAAAAATCTTAAAATGCAACCCATTAGACAGAATATATGTTGATACTACAATTTCTTAAAGTACTGTTTCTATTTTTCAAAATCTGACTTACACTTCACTGCCTACAATTAATGTTACATGCATGTTTAACAGAACTTTGTTCTCTGATACCTTTGATTTTATACTTACTAGTTGTATTATAATCAAAGTTCTGTATTTTTCACCTTTGAAATACATTGTAACTGGGGATGGAGAGATGGCTCAATGGTTAGGTTAAGAGCATTGGCTGCTCTTCCAGAGGACCTGGGTTCAATTTCCGGAACGCACATGCTAGCTTATACCTATCTATAGCTCAGTTCCAGAGTATCTGACACCCTTACACAGTCATACATACAGGCAAAATCGCAATGAATGTAAAATTAAAGAAAGAAATACATTCTAACTTAAGCCTTCGGGGTGCCATCTGCTGCCTTTGCCATCTCTATTTTAGGTCACGGTGTAGTTCAGTACTCTAACGCAGCATCAGCTATTTATGCAAAGTACAAATTGCATGGATTCCAGTACCCCCCTGGGAATCGGATAGGAGTTTCCTTCCTGGATGACGGGAGCAATGCGGCAGAGTGAGTACGATCCAGGAATGTCCAAGCCAAGCTGGTGGACGTGACTGTGGCTTGAAGGGTAGAATAAACAGTTAACCTCAGGTGAGGAGGTCACACCAAACAAATGCTGTTAAGATGCTGAGTATGTCTAGTTTAATGTGAATTGTTGGTTGTTGTTTCCAGCCTCATCAGAAAAATGGCCACACAGATGGTGGTGTCACAGCTGGCCTCAATGGTGTGGAGTGGCCCAAGCCAGCAGCAGCTTCTGGTAAGTAGGTAAGCATGTGACCTCTAGTGCAGTCAGCAAATCAAGTGACGTGTTTGTTACTGAAGAAAGACCGCTGCCAGAGCTACCCATGTAAATGCCCACGTAGGCGCCATGACACACATCCTTCGCTTTTGGCCCCAAAGCCCTGAAGAGCAATTTTTCTTTTTTTCCCTTTGTGCCTGGCTCTTCCACAGCAATTTGGAGGGAGTTCTGGGTCACAGGTGCCTCAGATCCAGACAGATGTTGTGCTTCCATCGTGCAAAAAGAAAGCCCCTCCCGAAACTCCTGTGAAAGAAAGACTGTTTGTCGTGTTTAACCCTCATCCTTTGCCATTAGACGTGTTGGAGGATATATTCTGGTAAGATTCAACTCTCCAAGGCTGCAAGTCGGTAGTTATAAGCAAGCCACTCGGTGCAGGTAGACGAGGAGCCTCCATTCTCGTGCTGCTGCTCCTGAGGTGCCTGTTCCGAGTTCTAAGACCCCTTACTGATCTTCGCAGTTTATGATTTCTCTGTCAGGCACATAACCTCTGCATAGGATTTCCTGCTTTTTACTTTTTATTTTTTTAAGACTTAAGACATACAGGATGGTTTTAAAAAGCTGCAGGTGTAGAATGGACAGCTCACTTCTCTTTTGGGAGAAGATTCATTTGCATAGACCTGTTCTTTTCATGTAATATTTCAGTTGAACAGTGTTTACTAAGTATCTTACATTTTGGCAGCACTTGGTTGGACCTTGAGGATTACGTCATGTAGAGCAAATCACTTATTTATAAGGGATGATATGTAATAAGTATATAAGGCCAGGGGAAGGCCTTACCCATTTCTGTATCTTAATATTATTAACTTTATAGCCACCCTAGCTTTTTATAACTCTAGCTTTTTTTTTAGACATTTTCCTTTCATCTTCTAAAACTGTGTGTGAGTTAAGCTAATAGGAAGCTTGTTAAAGATCCACCCAAGCCAGGTGTGGTAGCCGCCGCCTTTAATGCCAGCGCTCTGGAGGCAGAGGCAGGAGGACCGTTGTGAGTCTGAGGCCAGCCAGGTCTATAGAGTGAGTCCAGGATAGGCGCTGGCAGCAATCGGTGCTACACGGTGTCGGGAGGGTCAGGTTCAGAACTTGGAGATAGCCCTCGTCTGTCTCTTACACTTTGGCGCAGTCGTTTTGGGAACCTGATTGAAGTCTACCTCGTGTCGGGGAAGAATGTGGGCTATGTCAAGTACTCAGACAGAATGAGCGCTGGTGACGCCATCACAGCCCTGCACGGCAAAATCCTGAACGGCGTCAGGCTTAAAGTCATGCTGGCAGACTCCCCGAGAGAAGAGGCCAAGAAGAGGCAGAGAACATACTGAGCCTCAGGTGAGTGCTCCTCGCCCCTGAGAGAAGGAGTGTGACGAGGACTATCTGCATGTACTTCACTTGGGAGCTTCTCTTTTGGGGACTTTAGAAGCTACTTAAAACCATGTTGGCTTAAAACTCTATTAATAAAGCCGAGGTCTTTTTGCAATATATTTTTTTAAATTTAAAATTGTTTAAACTCAGGGCTGGAAAGGTGGATTACCAGTTAAGGGTGCATGCTTCTCTTCCAGTGGACCCACATTAGGCTGCTTATAACCACCTGGATTACCTAACGCTCTAAGACAGTGTTTTTCAACCTATGGGTTGAGACCCTTTGGAGATTGAAGGATCTTTTCATGGCTAAGACCATTGGGAAATGTTTACATTATGATTCATAACACTAGCAAAATTACAGTTCCTAAGTATCAAGGAAAATGGTTGAGGGTCACCACAACCTGAGGTACTATATTAAAGCGTCACAGCATTAGGAGGGTTGAGAATGACTGTTCTAGGATGCCCAATGCTCTCTTCTGAACTCTGTGAAGACACTGAGTCATAGACACACACATACCCACAGACAGACACGCAGACACATACATACATGCACATAAATAATGAAATGTCCTTAAAAATTAATCTTTTGACATTTTACTAATGAAAAACAGTATGAAATAATAAGTATTTTTGGACCTTTTAACCCTAAATATTGGTGTCTTTACAAACTCATACTTAGGAGTTTGAACTTTAAAAGTATACATTCAGAAAATATTTTCATGTGCATCTACATATTTTTAAAGAACTTTGACCATTTGGTAACCCCCTCTTTTTTAATCAATACTGACATGACATATGAGTTCCTTTTTCTAATGATTAATTTTCACAACTCAGCCTTTTCCTGTAATGGGTTACATCTGTGACTTAAGGGAGACATCACCTTTGGATTGCTTTACTCTAATAAATTCTGAGTTTCAGAGGCAGTTTGTTCCTGTTTCCTACACTCACCACCCTCCCAGCCCTGCCCCATGCCAGGCACGTGCAGCTGACACTGCTGTGCACTAGTGACTGAGGACTAATCACCTGGCCTCACCGTGGAAGACGCTTCTTCCAGAGCAGAGCTAGTCACTAGTTCCTTCTTCATACAAGATATGAGGCACTGAAAAATGCCTACTGGCCCCACTAGGAGTAGTACTTTTAAAATATTTTTAATGACAAAATCCACACATTACACTAAAGAGTTGGCCATTTAGCTCTAAAAATAATCAGTTACCAGTGAAAGAGGATTAGCAAGCAAGTTTTTTTGTTTACTAATAAAATGTTAATAATTTAGTTTTGTTTAAATGAACAGGTCGTTAAAGTAGTCTTCAGAAATCACACTTAAGCCTTGTGCCTAAATATTTTAGAAATTACTGCTTTTATTTATGGAATCTTTGCCTTTAAAAAGGGCAGTATTACTGACTTTCTAGTATAGGAAGGTATACAAAGTACTCTCGTGGTTGAGCCGTAACTAGTGATCATTTGCCTTTTAAAGGGAATTATTGGCTTGTAATCTCAGCACTCAGGAGAGTGGAGCAGAAATACTGAGTGTGAGGTTACTGTGGATATGTAGGGATAGCTTTAGAGAGAGTATGAATGAGAATGAAATCTGGACTAGGCACACCTCTAGTAATTAAATTTGTATAGATCCATTCACTGTTCAGAGGCTTGGTGTTTTTGCTAGGTTCACTGTGACGCATTGAGACAGCAGAATTTCTGATGAAATGAAAGAAAAGCTCTGTACATGTGAGCTGCCACTCTCATAGTTATGGCTTTAGTGGAGCCTTTCAGATATCATCTCATCCAAACGATAAGAAAGTAAAAGCTTGATGGTAAAAAACAAAACATAACAAACAGACAAACAAAAAACGGTGCAGACATAGCTCCCAGCCACCAGGTACTGTGAGAGCCTTTAAAATACGTCAGCTTCACCTTTTGTAATGATGTGCGTTCATCTTGCTTCCTAGGCAAGGAATCGCAGTCTTCAGCATGACTAGCCATCCAAGTCTGAATCTGTCCTTTTCCCATTATTGAATTTTGATACACATTCAGGGCAGAGATAAAAAGGGGTTATATTACTTGAAAATGGTGACTTGGTTAGGGTAGAAATAGCTGTAATTTGGATGGTTTCTAATTGCACCATGGCGTTTATTTTTGTTACTCGTCCTCTTTTCATCATGAATAGCAGAGTGAAATTTTCTACCTCTGGGGTACATTAGTATAAATAAATACCAATTAATAATTATAAATAAATAATTATATTGTCCACGTTTGGTGGCATGAACCTGTAGTTTGAGTTCTTGGGAGACTGAGGCAGAACAATCATAGAAACTCCAGAGCTGAAGGCTAGCCTGGAAGATATAGTCAGACCCCGTCTGAGTACATGAATTATCTTTTTGTAAGATTCAACATGGCAGTATGAGAGAGCCCACATTGTACATGATTGTGACAGGGAGGCGTGTCTTTGGTGTGGTTGCTGCACTTGTTCCTCTAGCTTCAGGAGGACATAACAGCTCCTGCATGCTGCTTGCTTTAGTCTCTGAGGAATATGCTTGGGACTAAATGAGCCATGCCTAAGAAGTAAAAAACTGGTCTAAGAGTCAATGTTGAAAGTAGTTGACTTCTATTTTGAGATGAGTCTTGTGTTGATAATATATTTCTCTTTGTATTTGAGGAAAATAGAAATTTTAATATTTCAGAGCATCTGGTTTTAAGTTACTTCACAGAATTTTCCCTCTAGAAATTCACTGTCTGCTGGCATCAAACCTCAAAGTAAGTTTGGTTTTGTTTACTTGGAGGCATTTATGGTTAAACAGATCAGACTGGCTGTAGTGGGTTAAAGAATCCCTGACACTTTGGGACTACTAAATACAACAGCTGTTCCCTTTCAGGTGATGATTTTCATACTTGTGTTGTGTTCTTTCTACAGAACAAAGACTAACTAATGACGTAGTCCTCAGCTGACTGACTGAAAAGTGTGACTGGACGAACTCCCTGTGGACAGTTGACAGCTTCCCCCCCCCCCCCCTTTTTTTCACATATCTGATAGTCTACACACCATTGCTTGTTTGGGATTGCTGACATGCATTTTATCTGACCGTGATGGTAAAACTACCATAGTAGCTGTTTCCCAGAACAAAATGTTGTTGTGTATAGCAGAAATAAAGCTTCCTTAGAGAAATATGTTGTCATGTATAGCAGAAATAAACTTCGCGTCGCTTAACTAAATCATGACTTATTTATGTGAAAGACAAGAAGGAAAATAATAGGGCTGGAGAGCTGGCGCAGAGGTTAAGAGCACTGTCTGCTCTTCCAGAGTACAATCCCCAGCACCCACACAGAGGCTCACCACCATCTATAACAAGATCTGGTGCTCTCTTCTGGTGTGGAGGCACACATGCAGACAGAATATTCTATACATAATAATTAGATCTTTAAAAAAGAAAAAATAGTAATAGTTGATGCTTAGAATTTAGGTAAGTGGCATGTTTCCTTGACTTTAAGGGGCATGTCTTCACATTTTAACATCTGGGACAGTAGAAATATGTCAGTTGTATGATGCAGTGTCATTGACAGTGTTTTCCCGGTGCAACATGGAATAAAGGTGGTTCTTTCAGCCACTTGCATCTCAGTCAGTGTAACAAGCTTCGCCCTCATTCCACAGTGTCACTGTAGACTCTGAGCACACAAGCCTGAGATGTTTCAGTAGCAGGGGGCACAGCACCTGTATATTTACTGCTACACCAAAATTTGTTGATACTTTGTGACAAATTTTTAGGATTGGCAAGTGTCAATGATTTCAAAACCTAGAGTGTGTGTGTGTGTGTATGTGTGTTTGTTTGTTTTAGATGGGGTGTCTTCTGTCATATAATACAGGCTGACCTGGAACCCTGATCCTCCTGCCTTTGCCTTCCAAGTGCTAGGATTATAGGTCTAGGCTACCACACCTGACTTAAATTTAATTAATATCAGTTGATTTTTTTATATATAAACATAGAGACATAATGGTGACTCCAAAATATGATATGTGAGCAATTATCAACATGGACTATTATAGGAGACAGAATCATTTTGAAATGAAAAATAAAAATCAGGAATCTGTCAAGCGTGGTATATCCTACCTGTGATCCCAGCACTTAGCTGAAGTGGGAGGCTTGCTGTGCATTTGAAGCAAGCCTAGGACTGAGATCCTGTCAAACAAAACAACAACAAAATAATTACTAAAAAGTACTTTATATTTTGAAAATTCAAGGACAATTTTATCAGCTCTTAAAAAAATTAAATCAAGAAGATAGAATGCGTTGTAGTTGGTAAAACATTGCTTAATTACATTCCCGTTATTTGTGTCACCCCCAAGTTAAACAAGGCTCAGGTACAGGGAGCACTGTGGAGTATTTAGTGCCTGGACATTGCCCTGTTCACAACTTGAAATCAGTAATTTTAATAAATTTAGAAAATAAAATTTCAGTCTTTCCAGGCAAAAACTGAGCCAGGATTTTTCTGTGAGCCAGGGGCCATGCTTTAATAAGAAGCAAATGCTCTCTGGGGAAATGAAGAGCTGAAGTAAAGAAAGCTGAGGATTCAGCAGCACCAGATTCCCTACTTCCTGTACATAGTTCACTTTTCATGGACTGAAAATGAATTATTTACAAGCTATCTGCCTCTAACACTATAGTTATGTTTAAAGTTCCTCAAAAATATTCCTGTCCGGGTGTTTATGCTTTGTAAAAAGGGAATTCTTTGTCTTCCCATAATGCCTAATGCTTTTGGTTAATCCATATGGTTAGAAATAAATCCAACATCCTACAGTTCTCATCTGTTATTCTTTATGTTCCTCACCAGCCCACAGGGACGATGATTCTTGTCCCTGGCTGTCATAGCCTTCCTTCCCTCCAGGAACACCCCGTGAGCCTGTTTTCTCAGTTCTGCAGAGGCGGCATGGTGCTCTGAACAGAAATGTCCCCCATAGGCTCAGAGAGTTGAACATA